CCCGGGTTACTTCATCTTGAGAGTTGTTGTTTTCATGGGCAATCTAGTAATTCGTCTTCATTGTTGACCTTGCGACAATTGAACGATGGCATATATGTTGGAGACAGAACATAGAGCAAAAATCAACCAAGTAATGACTTTCATCATGCGCCCATTTGCAAAGGACACCGTGGGGCCGATGGCGGAGGTATGTGCTTCCTTTTTCATGTTCTTTTTGTTTGTTGCTTGATAGTGTACAAGTTCTTCTGGAACTTCAAGATGGGGGCGGATTTGTGCTGGTTCGATTCTTACCAATTCGGTCTTGTGGCTCTTTACGCGCATGATTTCTGGGTCAGAGGTGAAGATGATGAGTGGGGCCAAAACAAAACTGCACCGCAATCCATCCAGAACACGCATTAGCTTGTTTGAGATGCCTGAAGTGGGTAGAAGTGGGACCTACGGTAGCACAAGACTCAAACCGACTTGACTTCCAACCAGTAAGTGATCAACACCTTGAAGGCCGGCAGCCCCAGCCACGGCTGCAGATGGTACGATTCCAATCATCCTTGTAACTAGTCGCCGGATTACAGGCCGGGTGCGCCACTCCAAAAAACCCTCTGAGACAATTTGACCCGCTAGGGTAACGGTAATCGAAGCCGCTTGCCCTGCAATGAGAAGTGCGATAGCAAACAGATAACCTGCCATGGGTCCAACTTGACTACCAAGCAGCTCGTAGGCAGATTGTAGATCAAGTGATTCGTTTTTCTTAACACCAGGATCAGATCCGTAGTAGAATGTTGCGGATGCCACTATCAGTATGGATGCATTGACAGCTGCAGTCGATAGGATGTGCGCGTGCAATCAATGATAGGACCGCAGTCTGTTAATTTCTAAGGTCTGTAAGATATCCTAGTATTCCGCTGACTTACGCAGAGCTAGAGTAAGCAGAGATGCGATGATGTCGAAACTGGCATGTGCAAGATGAGTTTTGGTACGCTTGACGGAGACTACAGTGGCTTCCAAGTTACAGGCGTTCAGCTCGCATCGGCTTTCGATGTCGGTTGCCTTGTTGATTGAACTAAAATGTCCAGTAACTAAATCTTTGTCCATTTCATCTAGATGGAGTCTTTTTGAATTTTCAGGTAGTGTCTTTCCAGGATGCACAGGAATAGCACGTAGGCGCTCGGGGATGGCCACTTTGGACCCCTTTTTGATGGCAGGTGACAAATTAGCACTGAACAACCTTGTTTGTCCTATTTCTTTGTGGTATTTAGTTGAAAAATTACACGCACCCAGGAAGATCGAGTGTGGCATAACGGTAGCTCCTAAGGTTGGAAGTTCGCCACCCCACAAAAACCGGACGATTGTGGAATAATGTCATGGTATCAGTTGGATCAAAGAAATTTTTTTTTCTAAATGGCTTGAGGACAGACAGGCGACAAACCAATAAGGCTGACCGACACGTATAGTCCACCGTTGACGATCATGCGTCGGTTGGGAACAAATCCCTCGAAGGTCTTTCCCCATTCTGGCTTGACAGATACAAGCAAAATGATAAAGAAAATCACAACGATAAAAATAAGGAACGCAACAAACACCTCAAAGAAATGCATTGATTTGCGGTGTTTGTTCGAAACGTCTGGATATGAGCTGAAAAAGGCAAGGACCACGAAGACATCCATGGAAGTTAATAAAACCCCCACAAAGAGCGGAAGGCGAGGAAAAAGCCTGTAGAAGGGAAAATGATTCGGCGATGAGTGAGTGAGCTAATCGCTTGCTTTTGTAACTTGGGATTAGGGTGAAAGCCTAACATGTGTAAAGCAATTGCAGATCCTAAAAGTTCTGCTAAATCAGTAAAGCTTTTTTTAGATTGATATATGGTTTCGTGATGCAGGAGGAGGAATAAGCGAGTCAGTGCTAAAATCCAAGTGATGTGTAAAGCAGTAGGTATGGGTAACCTCACATGATTCCTCCTTCACACAAGAAGTAAAGTGGATATAAAACCCCCCATCTCCAAAGAAGCTTTCGTTTTGGTCGATCGTAAAACCTTTCTCTACAATGTTGAGCTAAGTCTAGGAGGGCAGGCGAATGAGGGGGAGTGAGGACACAAGTCAAGATTAACCGAAACGTAGAGTGAAAGTCCAGCTCCAAAAGTGCCCACCTTTACCCGTTATGTATCCTAGACGAGTGGCCAAAACTTGCAAAACGCTGGCCATCACCGAGGCGGAAAGAATGACAAAAAGATGAGCGTATCCATGGGAAGAACCTGCTCCTAAGTCAGTAGCCCACTTTTTTTCTCCGGAGAAGAAGATTGTATTGGAAGTGATATCGATGAAAGAAAGTTAAAATTAACACGTATCGTGACATTAGTATCAGAAAATTATGATAACTACTTGGGATGAAGGTTGCATCATGAGATTTCAATTTTGAACAAAATGGATTTACATTTCCCGGGTCACAATAGGCCACACTGAAAAATAAAAGTGAAAATTGGAGTGAGCTCGTCAGTATGGGTAAACATAGGATCAAGATATCAGTGTCTCCCTCCCCCTTTGGCTTTTGTGGTTAGGAGCTGAAAGAGGATAAACAACGCTTATGCGTCTTGCGAGACTTGCAGTAAGCTCAGGTAAGGTACGTTTGTGCAATAGACATAGAGGTCTGTACGTCAAGGTTTGTGTGTTTTGTAGGAAAGGGATGGCCAATGAGACCGGTATAGTTGGGGGAAAAACTTGTCGGCGCATTAAACATAGATGTGTAAAGACTTACGACGCCACCAACCCAGGACCAATGAACCTCAATTGATTTTTACAAATTTGTTTGATCTTGGTGCATCTACTTGATGGAGAAGTCTTTGAATTGGGTGCCGAGAAGTCGAAGCTCGGCTGGGTGCGCATCTTGGGTGGTAATCTTTGTTGACTTGAAGGAGCGGCGGAGCTTGTGAACTACGGATGGCGGCACGTTGATCGGCGAATACAATTTTGTTTTGATCATAAGAATCGTAGCTTTGTTTCCTGCAATGGCGATTATACGATTAAGGAGATGTGGTTCGCAAGTTGCACACGAATAAACCCCGATCGTCCCTCGATGCTCCCACACATTCCTTAACTTACAGTAGCTGAAACCGACCCTTGAGCTCATGCTTTAAATGTGTTCCATTGCTTGGGAGAGTTGTGGCTACGAAACCCATCCGTGCCCGTGTCTTTCGGGACTGAACGGATTCCACTCGCCCGGAAAGGCTTACCGGGACCGCTCCAGTTGATGTATTGGCTGTGACTTGTGCTATATGGCGGAAAAGATGGGATCTTGAGAGATCTTCTCAAACCAGACGCTGTGATGTTTTAGGATCTCCTATTTGGAAGGCTCTGTTTTGCGCAAGGTGGCATGTCCACCGGCGATAACTGCTGACCTGTGTGAGCTATCACGTAGGCATGAAGTCTTCCTGTCGCTAGCACCGTGATTTCGCAAAGCTCTCCAGTCACGGCAAATCGTAGCAAGCTCTAGCAAGCTTGATGCTCGATGTAGAATAAACAGTGGAGTGTACAGAATATTTCATCAGTTGGCAACACGTGGGCTCCAAAGCTCATCTGAGTCATCGCAAGACCCAAGGCGTGTATGTTCCATCTAAAACTACGCACATGAAAAGTTTCACCACCAAATTGGCAGTCCCTGTTTCTTCCGGGGTGTCACTTTCAAGTGTGTGACTCGTTCCAGATCTGGGCCAAAAAATGAAAATCTCCTTCCGCACGAGCGGCGGTACATGCAAGAACGCCATGGCATCAAGTATGAGTGCAGAAGGCATCCTCTTGCCAGCGCGGAAATCAGAGGGAATGCAACTGGTTGAGTTAGAGCAAAGGCTTGATCAAATGTGAGGGGGTTTCAGGCGGTCCTAGTCTGCGTACTGTGAGTTGGTGGAGGGACAAACAGCACCGCAACTCCGGGATCAGCGATGGCAGGGAAACTTGTCGCAGTGCATAGGTTGCTGATCAAGTGTTTCCGCCAGAGTGGTAGCGGAGGCGCCGCTCAGACAGCTGCGAGGGTGGCTTCCTTCCAACGTGCGTGGAAGCGACGGTTCCACCGGGCATTTTCTTAAATGTTGAATGAATTTGGCGAGTGTGGCTTCCTTTCAACGTGCGTGGAAGCGACAGTTCAAGAGGGCATTTCCTTAAATGTTGAATGAATTTGGCACCGGAAGCGGCGTGGGCAACTGTTTTGTGAGGGGTGCAAAAGCGGGTATTATCTCTTTTGGCAATTTATTAGGGGATCCAATCAACCATACAAAACATATTATTTAAAATTCCGCTTAATGGGTACAAATTAGGAAAGTGGGCTCTGGAAAAGATTAAAGGTTAAATTTAGAGGGATGATTTGATAGCCTTGATGAGGACTCTCTCTTGGGTATCTCCCGTAGCGTCGAAGACGTTGACTCCGGCCAAGCCGCTAGACTTAGCAAATTTGGTCTTTCGGGCTAGAGATCTAGGGTCATCGTAAGAAATGAAAGTCTTACTCGATGGGTCAAAGAGGAAAGGCTGGGAAAGATTCAAAAGATGGTATTAGTCAGGTCACTTCATTCGAATTTCGAGGTACCTAGAAGTAAGTCAAGTACTCACAGTTCTCGAGCAGTGATCGTAGTGACGAGTAAAACCCTTGAGGCCTTGACTTCCGTCAGCACTGAGCATACCGCAAGCTACAAGGTCTTTGTAGAGCCACGTGTGGCCATCTTCCTCGCCACCACAAGTGGTGGGGCCAGCGGTAGAACTTTCAGTGGGAGCGGGGGCGGCAGACTTGTCAAACTTGGAGAAGAATAAGCTGGTGAGGTTGCTCTGGCCTGAGAAGTTGGTTGGAGCTAGCTCGGAATTGGGCATGGTGTACTTGTACCCGTAGGCTGGTAATCCCAACAGGATTTGAGCCGCGGGGAATCCGGTGGAGGTCCAGGTTTTGATGGCTTGGTCAACCGAGAATTTCACCTCAGGGTCATTGCAGGTATCAAACATTGGGGCATTGGGACCGGCCAGCTCGCCTGATGAAGGGCTGTAGAGGTCGTAGGCCATGATGGTGATAAAAATCAAGGACCTCAGCATAAGCCTTGTGGTCTGTAAGGTACTTACCGTCCGGTCCCATGAAGCCATGGACGGCGACGGCAGCAGAAATTCGGGCCTTGGATCCCAGGACCTGGCGAAGGGTCTTCAGAAACTTCAAGTAATTGGCCGAGTCATCCTTGGACAGGATGTTACCATCATTACCTGGGACGTTGGGATATTCCCAGTCGAGGTCAACACCATCAAAGTCGTACTTCTTGACGGCGCGCAAAATGGTCTGGACGAATGTTTTGCGGCTTTCTTCGTCGGCCACCAATTTGCTGAAATACTTGCTTCCGGTCCAGCCACCAACGGTGAGTGAAACGGAAACTCCGTGGGACTTGGCACCGGAGACGACGGCCTTGAGGTTCTCTTCATTTTCGATTTTTAAGTCATCACTGGGTTCACTACCAGTGGTGGCAACAAAGTAATCAAGATGGGTGTAGAGGTCCCATGGGATACTTTCCGGGGGTAACAAATTGGAATGGTAGCCCTGATTTTTTTTTTTTTTTTTTTTTTGGGGGGGGGGGGACAAAGAGGTAAGCCACAAATTGCGGGTTTTTGTTAAGATGGAAGGCGAAGTCAACTTACGGGATAGTAAACTGCAAGAGTTGGCTTTGATTCGGCACGGGCAACCAGGGCGCCAGTCCCTGAAATAAGGTGTAGGGCCGCAAACAGTGCAGTTATGACTAGCATCGCAGGGTGGGGCTTTTTGGTTGGCGCGGATAGGGTGGGCTGGGTGATAAGGTGAGGGTATGGGGAAGGACTTGCGGGTGGAAAGGAAGGCGAAGGGGGTGCTTCGAGGATATGTGTTGCTGGTAATTTGTTTGTCTTTGACTGGTGGTCAAGTGTTGAGGAGGTTGATGGATGAGGAGAAGGACCTGGGGCTCACGATTGCTTGTTTTTATACCCCTCCAATATCAAGGGAGCTTGAAAGCAGCCCATTG